GTTTGTATAAGTTCCCCCAGTCCCCCAGTCCCCCAACCCAACATTGGACGGGGACCCGCAGCGCAGCGAAGGTTTTTCCGAACCGAAGGGGAGGAAGGAACAGGGGTATGGCGACGACGGGAGGAGGCGACGAATGAGAGGACACGGGAGGTGGCCTCCTGGAGGCAAATGCATTGCCTGGGCGCAACAGAGTGAGCCAATCCGAGTAGGTCGAGCGGGACGCGGGGCTGGAGCAGAGGCGGAAGCGATTGGACACGGGAGTGTCTGGCCATTTTGAGGGCGGATGCGCTCATTGGTTGAGGGACGGAGTCCGAGGAGCGGGGGCGACGGTTCTTAAAGGCCCCTCTAGCCTTTGGATTAGTTTACCGGGCAGTTCTCCCGGTTTCGCATCGTTGATATCGAATGCGTCGCTTGTTTGATCGTCCTAGTTGACGGTCTCGTTCTTTCACTGATGATCCGGACAGGATGACCGGACCACATAGCAAGCGGGGTGCGTTTTCGGTATCATATCGCCCGGCCGTGGGCGAGACGGTGGAGCAGTTCCAGAGCTGCATCGAGAAGTTCGTGACGAAGGGTTGCGCATTCTTTGGCGCCGAGGAGGTCGAGGCGAACGTCCGGTACTATCGGTTCGTTCTTTGCTTACGTACGCCGTTGCGTATTACCTCGCTATGGAGCGGCAAGAAGTGGAAGCGTGCCGGGGCATTCGGAGTGGTTGTCGACGTCTGCTATCCTGCTCTGGGCGAGGGTGTCGGCAGTTTTTTAAGTCGTCAAGCGAGTTTGATCCGCCGCCGTTCGTCCGAGTCGGTTTTCGGGTCCTGGGACAGGGTTATAGCGGAGCGGGAGAGCGTTTTACGCCTACAGACGGAACAGAGGAGACAGTATAGGAAGCGAGAGCGGCGTCAGTTGCAATCGGCATCACCGGTTGAGAAGGCGAAACTAGGCGGTGGTCCGTTGATCCCGAAAGGAGTGGGCGTGGAGTGCCCGAGCGTCTGCGTCTCTAGGTTGGCCTTATGGAATATGGAGTTCGAGGCGATGGCGATGGCTGATTTGGATATGGCACCGGTAGAGTTGGGATCTTGTATCGGTATGATGCCCCAAGTTGATCTCCGTTGTTTGTTTACCCTTCTTATCTCATAGACTTGGTTTTATTCTTCCGTTTATCGCTAATGCTGATAATAGGTCTCTCCCCTCAAAGGATGAGCATTAATGTTGGAAACGAGAGTACGGAGATAGAGTGGGAACGAGAGTACGGAGATAGAGTGGGATCTATTTCTTCAGAACTACGATTGATCGTGGTAGAGTTGTAGTGTTACATGTTTTAGCGTAGTTGGTTATATTGTCATTAATGGAGATATCAATAGTGTGTTATTCAACTGGATTTCTTCTCTTTTATCATGAGACCCCACCTTGACCCTCCCTCCTGTTCTGTTTCCTTGTCAAAGGCGGGGTACGGGGCCGCCCAGGCCCTGTAGCGTGAGACGGAGCGTCAGCGAAGTCGAATCGTTCAAATGTGGTCGGCAACCCAGGACCTATATGACCGTTAAGGTCCAACAGACTTACACTTTGACAAAGTCCCCCGCGGAAGGGGAGGAGCGACAGCGACGACGAGTGTCAGACGCCATCAGTTGGCGACAGGTGCCCAGGAAGTGGGCCTTGCGTGAGCGATGCGACCAATAGAGAGCATTCAACCACTTCAGGGTTATGT